ATATTACCATATATATTTTTATGAAAAATATATATTTGTTATATATGAATAAAAATATATATTTGTTAAAACATAAATAATTAAGAGTACAAATTAATATAACCTAACCTAACCTAATCCAACTTTTAATACTATATACTGGCGACATTCTATGGATATACCAGAGAATATTCATAGAATGTACTACTATATACTACCCACTCGGCATGTAATATTGCTGAAATACTGTAATGTTCGGAAATGGTACAGAAATATTTCATTAATATTTCAATTGTAACTTTGCATCCGAAATATTTAGAAAATGTACCTGTATCATGTTTTGTAAAATATTGCATTTCCAATATTTCTGAAATCTTTCAGAAAGTCCTTTTGTAACTAGTATTAAGGTTATAGTTTATTTGCTTACCGCTATGCGGCGCGCTATTCACTGTTTATACCCGTATTCAAATTTTTGTCATGAGCGTATATAAAGCCTGCAAAACGCAGTTAATAATATTATCATTATTTTTACCAGTTTAATTTCTGATGAGATTTACGTACCGGGAAATTCAGATATTGAACTGATTTTTAGAAAATCGGACAGATAAATGTCCGATTTTCACTTATTCGGACAATTTCTGTCCGAATCAGTGAAAATCGTTCGTTATTATCTGCTTAAAATATAAAACAGAAATTAACTTCCATATAAATAAAATCTTTAATTTTATAAATTAAATTATTTAAATTTATCTATAATATATATCACATTAATGTATATTGTTATATATTATTACTGTAATTGATTTTAGTTTTGCCGTCAAACAAACATCAGAAAATGACGTCTCGTGGATATGACATATGGACATCATTTTCGGGTCTCATGAGACCTAACTTAGGATATGTAAGTGATCATTTTGTGACCAACATTTACCGTCATTATGACGTCAGTTCGCTACTTGGGATATGTTTCAGAAATATTTCAGTAATATTACCGAAATATTGCTGAAATGTTTTAGCAAGGTTGCATTTGAAATGATTGCGGACATTGAAACATTGCAGAAATGTTGCAGAAACGGTCGTGAAATATTTCTGTAATATTGTTGAAAGGTGTAATATTTCAAATGGAATATTGCAGCAATGTATCAGAAATATTACATGCCGAGTGGGTAATAATATACTGGCGACATTTTATGGATATACCATAAGATATTCTCAGTATATACTATAAACTAAAATAGGAGGACATTAGAGCATTCTTAGTACGTACTCAGTATGTCATAGTACGTATTTCGAATGTTCTGAGAATATACGCAATATACTTTTGCGATATCCTCCGAACATTCTCAGAATCTACATGTGCTGTTAGGGATGCTATCAAAACATAATGTATAAAACATTAGATCTGTTCTTTATAGCTGAACTGGCTGCACTAGTTCAGAGCTTATCTTTCTCCTTCCAACGGGGAGAGAAAAAGATAAACTCTGAACTAGTGCAGCCAGTTCAGCTATAAAGAACAGACCCATTATACATATCACATACGATAAATACGCACATAAAGAAAAAGTATTTTCCAATTATTCCAGAACACGTGGGAATGTTTTAAAAAGAAGCTTGTCACCATCTGAAGAATCTGCTACGTGGGATACGCTAGAAACTGATGATCCAGATGTGATCGAATATCTGAAAAGTATAGACAATAATAAAAGCAAACGTGGAATGGAAGTGAAAAATGAGCTCAAAGAATCGGAAGGCGATTTATTGAAAGTAAAAATGGAACCGTCGGATGAAAATAATGCCAATGTACTGAATGTCAAGACTTCAGTTCTCAGTAAAACACGTACAGACATTGTAAATAACAAAACGATGAAAACCGTAAAAACCGCTGTAAGTGTCGAGGATGATACTTTACAAATTGTTTCTGAAGCATTACAGAGTGTGAAAGGATTATGTGAATCTGCTGACAAGTGCGATGATATTGCCTATAACTTTTGCATGACTACGTACAGTCAATTGAAGAATATGTCGAAGAAAAAGCAAGAAATCGCTCGTACCAGGATTAATACCATTATGTTAGAACTGGAATCTGACTCGGACTAAACAATATTTTATTTTTTAATTTTGTGATTCTATCTAAAAAAGTTAGTTTTGTTTTCTATGCTATTGTAGTATGTTTTATAAAAAATAAGTAACTGTGTTAAGTTTCAAACATACATATATTATATTGTTTAATAGCTTTGTAATTAAAATGGTACTTTTTTAGAAAAGTATTAATAAATGTGATTTTATTCAAAGAAGTAAGTTTTAGTTTTATAGTTATTGAAGGATTATCACATATGTGTAAACGAGTCGGAACATTTTCAAAATTGTCGTTAAGGCTGTTAATGGTTTCAAAACTTGAAACTATCCCTATTATAAATTTTGGCAATGTACGAGTTTCTATTTCATAAATTAATGTTATGTAAATGAACGCAGCATGAAAATGTTACAAGTGTAGTAGTTTATAATCGAGACTTGTAATGTAGTTGTTATCTAAAGTTTTTTAATAAAGATACAAAGTATAATACATGATAAGATTATTATTTAAAAAAAAATTTTAAACAGAAGAATAGCAAACATTCAAAATAATGTTGATAGTCAATGTTCTAAATAGTCAACATCTTCACGAGTTGTACGATTAAAATGATTCTCTCGTGATGTATGCTTCTTGCCACGAAACTACGCTTTCTGGGGAAATAAAATACTCGGCAAGCGTGTCACGTAAGGTAATATTCTTGCGTGTAGCATTATTAGCTCCCATTCTTCCCATGTTTTTAAAGGTGACATTCTCTTCGCATTGTCTCCACTGTCCAGATATGACATTTCTTTCGTTGTCCCACGTATCAGCATAATTTGGAGGGCAGTACATAGCATTTTCTGCTTTTGACATTAATCAAGCGACGCGGTAGCGTCGCGACGCCAAGTATATATAAAAATTCGTTCCAGCTTGTCAACGGTTTGCCTATGTACAGTGGCCTCGACGCTACCAAGTAGCTTATCCGGAGTTTTACGTCTAATAAACTTTCGATTAAAATTCCTAGGGAACCAATCTCCGGATGGTCTAAGCCCGGGCGTTAATGAAGGCCTCTCCGAAAACTGGCTGTAGCACTACTTCGGAGAGGCCTTCCGCCAGCGAGCCTGTCGCTAGGGGGGGAGCATTGTTCTCCCCCCCAAAGTCCCCATTATCCTGGGGACCCCCATTCACGTTGGGGAGAGGGGGGCCACCACCCCTCTCTTCCACTTCCCGCCGATGGCGTTGCGGGGATGACGTGGCCGGGCCCAAATACCCCACCCGGGTCGCCGGCCACCGGGCCCGCATTGGTTGCGGGCCCTGCGCGTTGGCAGGAAGAGTTGGCATGGACCGGAGCCAATAGGCCCCCGGTCCACCCCCCGCCCGCCCGCGTCACC